CCCCCCCCCCAGCTTGGTGGTGCGGTCCGGCCGCTAGGTGGCGCTGTTCGCACATGCGCAACGCCAGCGGCGAAGCCGGTCTCCGCTTTCCCGCCTTTCCTCGGCGGTAGGGCAGGCGGGGTCGTGCGCATGCTGCGGTGGCGGTCCAGCAGCGTAGGCGCTCCCCGACGACGCATGCGCAGTGCGGTCCGGCGGGGCGCGGAGGCGGTGGCCCTCGGGCTCCCGCATGCGCAGTGCAGCGCCATGTTGGACTCCTGGGGATGGCGGGAGCTGTAGTCTTCTGGCACTGGGCTTCCAGAATGCCGTAGAGCATCGCACACCATCTCGGGAGCTGTAGTCCTTGGCGTAGCCTTCTTCGAACTCCTCTTGTTCCTTCAATTCCCTCCCCAGGCCCTCATTTTTGTCTCTGAGCCGCCTTTTGTCCTTCTGGCCCCTTCAGGACCTCCCTACTTCTGTCACAAGTCCCGCTGAATTCTTCTTTGTGCCCCACAGCTGTCTTTTATCCCTTTGGATCCCTCTTGTTCCCTCAGAACACCTCCCGAGGTCTTTTTTTTGTGCCCTGCAGCAGTTTTCATCCCCTGTGCTATCTAGGATGACTCTGTTCACTCCCTCACCCTGTGATGACAATCTGTACTCTGCTCGGATCCCATCCCGAGTTCTTCATTGTGTCCCCAGGCAAGGGAAGGTGAGGGGCCACCAACAGCTTTCAGTCCCGGCCACTTCTGTGTGGGAGCCCTGGATGGTGGGTCTGTGTTTTGGACCCAGGCTCTGGCGAGAGTGAGGGGCTTGGTGAGGGTGAGGATTAGGTGGTAGAGCAACCACAGAGCCCCGCAAGCACCCTCACCCCAGCACAGCCCTTTTCCAGGGTGCTGACCTCCAGTGTTCCCCAGGGATTTTATCGGGCTTTGCCAGGGCACGGGCATGGCCCTGCTGCCCTCCAGAGAGCCCCAGGGCCTTTGCTGGGCTTTGCTGTTACCTGCAAGGAGCCCTCCTTCTCTTCAGAATTCCCTGAGTCCTTGTCCATGTTCAGCCAAAGCCCTGGCGGGGCTCTCCTGCCTTCCAGAGAGCCCCAGAGCTTTTGCCAGGATCCGCAAGGAGCCGTGCATCTCTCCAGAGTTCTCCGAGTCCTTTGCCAGGACCCTACTGCCCTCCAGATTTTCCTGGCACCTTCACCAGCCTTTGGAGGGGCCTGGGCAGTGTCCTTCTGCCCTCCAGAAAGCCCCAGAGCCTTCAGCAGGCTTTGCCTGGGCCCAGGCAGTGCTTGCTGTCCTTAAAGGGCGTTTTGGAAAAGGGCTCGTTCATCTCGTGCAGTGAAGTTCCATCTTGCTCCAGCTGATGGCACGATTGGGAGCGTGTAGAGCAGAGATTTTTCCCAGGAAGATAGACGGCATGTTGGACAAAGTCCCAGTTCTCCTGCTCGAGTATTTGATATTGTACAGCGTGGGTCTCAGCCTCGCACCACACCAGTATTCCCACCAATAATGAGTTCAGAGAAGAGCCTGTTTCTTATAAAAGGAGAAAATAAATACAAGCCAGGGCAAGTCACTAGGTCAGAGATGAGACAAGAGTTATCTGCAGGACAAGCAACCAGCAGTTTGAGGCTGTAAAGGAGTTGAAGCCATAGGAATGGGCTCCCACCAGCAGGAGTTAATGGCATGTCAGTCCACAGGAGAGCTTCCTTCCATAGCACATGTGTGTTTGAGGCAATAATCCCTCCAGGGTTTCAGCTCCTTCTGTGTCTGACTTACAGCTGTGTAACCTTCCAAACACACAGCAAAGGCATTTTTCTCTGGGAAAGTGTCAGCTCCCTTTGGCCTCATGCTGACAATCAGCCATTGTGTGTCCATTTGGTGATCCAAAGCGCCCTACAAGAGACTCCGAGTTGGCTGGGCTGAACACCTGGGCTTTCCTGGTGCAATTGTATACGGCACACAGCCTTTGAGTTAATACTGTGGTGTATGGAGTGAAATCAGGTCTCTGGGATGGGAATTCTGTGCCATTTAGAGCAGCTAGTGGCTCAGTAACGTGTAGGTTAGGAATGCATGTTTACAAGGTCTTGCAATGGCAAAAATTGATTATACATATGGGGACAAAATTCTACCTCCTGATTTTCTTTGCATTTTGTAGATTCTGCTGTTTGAGCAAGAAAAAAAATTATTTATTTTACTTATTTCAGGGAGGCAGATTTGCTTAATCCTTTTCTTCCTGGCTCTGTCACTTGTATCAGAGTATGACCTTAGGAATGACATAAGCTTTGCTGCAAAATTTCTGTATCTTTAGCATGACGATAATAACTAATACCTCACAGGATGCTGGAGTGAAACTAGTTAATATTCAAAAAGATCTTTAAGCTTTTTGTTGATTCAGATCTTAATAAAGCCATTGCTTGCAACACAAGGTTTGCTTTCTAAAATCATTTTAAAACAGCATAAATTCCGTATTCTTTCTAAAATGTGATGGCAAATTCATGAGAGCTCTTACAGGATGGTTTCTGTCATCTGAACATCATGTGTAGTTTTTGTTTGTTTTCTCTTCATACCTTCTTAATAAGAAATCTTTGCATTTGGATTCTGATTAAAAAATGTCCTTGGCAGGGCAGTTTTTTTATTGTTGCCTGGCAGGTCTCAACACTTTCACAGATGTTTCTCCATCATTTACATTCAGATTCTATTTCTGCAGTTTTCTCTGTAACCAAAGTACACCACTTCATTAATTTCTTTATGGAAGCTGAGTTTTTGGAATACAAGGCAGCGACCTGAGGCAGTTGGTGTGTGCTCGGTTATCGTATCTCCGTAGCTGGAATGGTAGCTCTCTGGGAACATGAGAACATATGCAACTACAAGACCAGCCCTCTTTTAGTCAATGAAACCGTGGACCAAAGTTTCATGAGATCCTTTTCCAACAGGTATAGATTATCTCTCAGCATGTTGTGGAAGGGACCTGCATGAAGGGAATCACTAGGGTCACTGTGGCAGTGCATGTGCTTTTTTGCTTCTATGTCATGATGTGATTTAGCTGGGTTTTTGTAGGCCAGCAACCCAGCTGGTGGCAGACAGGGAGTGTGTAACTAAAACTATGATTTGGTGAGAAAGGAGCCTGCATACCCTGACTTTCCTGGGTGGAGAGCTTGGCAGTCCTCAGATAGTTCCTTTCCAGCTTGGGTTTTTCTTTCTCTTTGGCCTCAGGAGAAGGGGCCCACTGGGGAGCTGCCCTTTATAAACCTTGTCTCTATCTTCTTGCACCTTCACAAGGCTCCTGTGTTTAGTCTGGGGCTTGCTGTAACTTAGCAGCATTAGGTAACTTAACAATTACAGTAACCTGCAAGAATGCCTGACTGAAAACCCCTCTGTGCCCGGCAAAGGGGCTCCACTGGGGAGGTGAGTGGGTTCATGATGTTGTACCCTCCCTCTTTTCCTTTTACAGCACTTCGAAGTCTAATAAAAGCTGCTGATTCCCATTTAATGGATAACGTTGGTTACTAACAAGCTCACCTCCCTCTTAAAAAGCCAGTGTCGGTCTCGGGAGATCTAATTTAGGAAGCACATGTAAGGCAAGGGTGTCCTGCAAGGGCCTCTGGGGTGGAAGCCACACCATGCAGTACTCCAGGCTGGTTGGCTGCCAGAGCTCGGCGTATTTTTAGCCACGAGCCAAGATGCCAGAGGCTGTCCTCAAGCTCTGCACCACCTGAGTATTGTGGAGTGTGGACTCAGCTCTACAACAGGCATTAATTCTTCCTGAGTACAGGGACTCCCTGATGGCAGCAGCCATCAGCAGGCACTGGTAGTGGAACAGACTGGTCATTGCAAAAAGAAAGACTTGAGCACAAGCCTTGTGCTACAAAGCTTTTCTGGTGCCAGCTCTGGTACAATGTCAGCTTACCCTGTTCAGTCTGGTCTACTGGATCTGCAGTCTCCTTCTTTTGTGGGTCCTCCATCCTCTTGCTTCTGGTGGCTTTCTCAAGGCATTGGTACTGACCTGAGGGACCAGTGGATTCTGCATTAGTTCCCATTTGTCCTTTGTCGTGGGGCTGAGTTGCCACCTGCTTTTTCTCAAAGGTTTTGCTAGAGGATGACATAGTGCTCCAGAGCTCAGACACTTTGGTCCCTTGTTGTCAAACTGTTCTGGGAGAGGCAAGGATGTATTTCACTAGAGCAAAGCAAAAAGACTCTATTAAAATACAGAGGGGAAAGGCCTCTTTCTGAATGTGTGGCAATGTTTGGATGTGGAAAGGTCTGATACGGAGAAATCTGTTTTCCCAACAATGACATTTACTTTCAGTGATATTTTGCATAGGGTACCATCTTCCTGCTCAAAGTGGTGAGTGATGTTGAAGGACATGTGCATTGTTATATTTAGTAATATGGAGAGGACTTAAGTGTTAATATGGTCATACCACTGGTATAATGCAAGTGTGTATGGGCAGATCAGCAAAGATCACCGGTGCATGTCGGCGTGCGCTTATAGTCGCTGTCTGTAGCCGCTTGTGCTCTGAGCCATCTCAAGTGTTGGGTGCACACAGCACCCTCCTTGAACACCATATAAATTTCAAACCTGCCATTTTCACTCTAGATAAGGCAAAGGAATCAATCTATGGCCTGTTGTTTGCACAGGTGACAAGTCTGTGTCAGAACACCACAAAAGTATGACATCCTTACCCATGAATGCTGTTGTGATGTGAGTGACATGAAGCTAGAGGGGATCTTGGGTGTCCAGAGACAATCAGGAGACATGAAAGCAGACAGCTTCACCCTGTTCAATATGGTCTTCTTTAAACTATGTTTTTACTTCAGATTTGGGCTGCCAATAACTCATTCAAACAATGATCTAATGCCTATGTGAATGTTTGTAAAACCTCACTGCTCTGGCAGGTTGAGC